AAGGAAGGAAGGAAGGAAGGAAGGAAGGAAGGAAGGAAGGAAAACCATATACACTATATAAGGAAGGAAGGAAGGAAAACAATATACACTATATGAGGAAGGAAGGAAGGAAAACCATATACACTATATAAGGAAAGAAAGAAGGAAAGAAAGAAAGAAAGAAAGAAAGAAAGAAAGAAAGAAAGAAAGAAAGAAAGAAAAAAGAAAGAAAGACTATAACAATGCAGACCGGGGGCAGCTCTTGGTCCGCAGACTAGTACAAGACTGATGTAAATAAAGCAATAATAATTATTATCATCATCATCAGAGCAGAGTGTTTCTAGTTAGAATGTTCAGAGTACATGTTCCCTACTAGATATACAGAAGTGACAGCCTGAAGTCCCTGAGCTGCCCCTGTCCCTGGAAGAGTCCTATGTGGAAGCAGTACAGTACAGTAGTCTCCTGCACCTTTCTCTCGTATACAATAAGATTCCTCTGTAATAATTCAATGTGACTCGTTCCATCAATGTATGCCCAAAGTTGTGGCATTGTTTCTCCCCCTCTCTAGCCAGGGTGACACATGGGGATGAGGTGACACTTACAGGTAAGCAGTGAAGATGCTGAGATTGGCAGGCAGAGCGCCGAGTCCCAGGTCCGAGCAGTCCGCTCTCATCATCAGTCCGTCCTGGTCACACACACAGTGACTCGGGCAGCTCCGGTGCTGCTGCTGTTTCCCCGGCCTGGCTGCGCTAACGATCTGCAGCGTGCATAGAAGCGTGCATAGGAGCAGGCTGGTCCTGGAGGTGTCCATGGTGTGTGTCCCACGGGAGGCTGTGCTGCTGTGTTTAGCAGTGCTGGACAGTACTCATCTCCCCTGGCTGAGGGGTGAGGGGGGTGTAGACACGGCGCGGAGGTGACACTACACAAGGAACAGCCTCCTCTGCACTCACTTTACTGCCCCGAGCATCTCACGCCGCTTTATTAAAGAGCTGGAAGCCTGAACTGCGCGCTCACTGACGTCACACCAGGCGGCCGAGCCACTCACAGCACACGGACCTGTGTGCTCCGCTCCTGCCCAGGTGGGCGCTCCTTGCGCAGAGTTCAGGAGCTCGTCTGTTTTACACGGGATGGTGGCCAACTGCAGGCTTTGGAAATGTCTCTGCATGCTTATATTGACATCTATCCACATATGTCCCTTTCTATCCTTTTCTCATCCATTTTTTACCATGCTTTATAGCGCCTGTTTTCGTTATGCGTGTTTTTATACATCAATGCGTCACTTTAATGCTTTGGACATTGAGTAATGATTTCCCATAGTGACGCCACTGTTCTGGACTTGGAGAGAGATATACTTTCTGAATCTCTTTGTTGTGTGTTGTGTTGAGTAGGGATGAGCTCTTGTTCGGATGGGATCTTGTTTGATGCGAATGGGGCTTTAAAGTGTATCTAAAATCATTTTTTAAAATTAGTTTTGTATAAAGTAGGAAAGGGTTAGACTCCATATCAGTTTTTGTTGCTGTATGTATCATTGCCGCTCGGATAGAAAGTGATGGGAAATCCAACATTTATGTGTTGTTACCAGAGCATAGGGTTGCCACCTTTTCTTCAAGCGAAACCCGAACACTCAAGCAACACGCGGACATTTCTTTGGGGAGAATGAGTGGTGGCTTACTCATATGTACATAGCGCCACCCATTCGTATGTAAATATCATAGATGATACTATTTTCAGTGGGGAGCCAGTAGCCCCTATCTTAGGTTTGGTTGCCCCTGTCTGCCTGACATGCTGTGTCCGGGTCTCTGCTGCCATGAAACCCGGACACAGCATTCAAAACCCGGACTGTCCGGGTGAATCCTGGACAGGTGGCAAACCTACCAGAGCATAACATGAGGGAAAATCCTCTAACTTAGACCTGTTCCTATGATGGGAATTCTATTCCCCTTTAAAGAGATTTTCCTCTTCTTTCCTGTTATATCTCCAGCACAGGAAATTAAAGGAAATATCCCCAGGAGGACAAAGACAGCAACAAATAATCTCATAGGGATTTTAACCCTCCCCTACTCTATCTATAACTTAAAAAAAAACCTTTGGCTTTACAAACTGTGCTGCTGGGATCCATAAATGGGTCAGTCTTTGACTCTATATGAAAAAAGATTTGAATGTCTGTTTGAAGAAGAGCAATTCTGCATAGAGTTTGTTTATTCTTATGTTTGCACAGATTGTTCCTGAGTGTTTTAGGTGTCTTTCACAGTACAGCTTAACATACTACTGAGAGGAAAAGAGTGGGTATGAGAAAGAGTGAGCGGGGAAAAGAAAGCTGATGTGTGTGCTCATGTGTGCTTGTGCTCATGTGTGTAGCATTGTTAGACTGTCAGACTACAAGGCAGTTTCTGTGTACCCTACAATGCTCTATGCTGCGCAATAATGAAGACACATTTAAAGGGACACTGTCATAAGAGGATCATGGAGGAGGCCATTGATTAACTCTCCTTGAATGCCAGTTCCCTGGGTCTCATGTTGATGCTTTTGCTTTAATACTGCCTGAGTAGCTGACCTGGAACAAGTAAAGTAATGGATAGCTCTGACACGTTTCTGTCACTCATTTAAAGAACCCCGAGCACACATTTTTTTTACCCCCGCACTGCAAGGGTTAACTGCCAATTGTTGCCTAGTGTAAAAAAAAGATATACTTTCCTGATCATTGGAGCTGGCCCGGTCTTAGACCAGTCCCTGGGTGTCTTTCCCTCTCCTCTGCAGTGGTCTAAGGTCCTGTGAATCAGTGTATAGGACGTGAGGTCTCCGTGGTAAAACTCAGTGTATAACTTTTTTTTTTACCCTAGGCAAAAATTAGCAGTTTATGTGAAGACGCACGTGCTCGAGGGGGGGTTTTCTGTTTCAAAGTTTTTTATTGGTTTTCCATACTTATTAACTTCTAATCACAGACAGCAATATCGTTCTATAAATATATAACATATATATCGTATTAAAGCGTTATAAAGCCATCAATGGTCTTCCAACAGCAACAGAGCATGGGCTACCTTACATCTATCTATTGTATTAATACCTTACCGGAGCCCGCAATTCTGTATTTCTATACCCTAGACACTCCTGCTTTGAATAAAGGTGGTAAAATGAATTCGATTTTTCTCTGTTGCTATTGTAAGTACCACTGTTTATCACTCAATCTGTGAGTACTAAATCCCTCTGGATGGGTAGTACAAACCTCCCACCAGGTGGAAAAATAAATGAAAACACTATTTAAATAAGAATAAAGAATTTAAAAAAAAACAACAACAACAAAAAAAATAAAATAAAGGAAGAAGATAAAACACAATAATGCAGAATTGCAGACTCATGGATTCCTAGTAATTAACACCTTAACTTAGCCTAAGGAGGCGGGCAGGCTGCCTAGAGGATTTGCAATGCCTTGATGCATCAACCAAGGTTTCCAGACCTCTTCAAAGCTAGTATATCTATCTTGCAAAATACTATAAAGCTTCTCATGAATCATAATCCAGTTTAATTTGGACAACACCATAGAGAATGGTACCCTTTCTAATTTCCAGGATAGAGCTATGGAGATCTTTGCTCCTAAAAAGAAAAAACAGGAATTTGCCCTGTGCTCTTGAAATACCTGGAACCGGTTTATTCAGTAGTAAGTGTTGCGGGTCTCTCGGGATATGAAGGCGGAGGATCTCAGAGAGCAGGGCAAAAAACCTATTCCAAAAGCGGAGCAATTTTGGGCACTGCCACCAAATGTGGATCATAGTGCCTCGCTGATTGCATCCTCTAAAACATAGGGGGCTTGTCCCGGGAAACATAATTGCCAATCTAACTGGGACAAGGTACCATCTAGAAAAAACTTTATAATTGGCCTCTGCTAGGGAGACGTTGGGGATTCACATCATCAACTTCGTAGTGCATTGTTGCCATTCTTCCAACGAGAGAACAGCACCTAGGTCGGATTCCCATGCAGCCATGTAAGCTAACTTCGTAAATGGCCCAAGTAATGCAGCATATATTGAGGAGATCCCCCCCCCGTTGATCAGACCCCCGCAGGCACCACCGCTCAAACTGTGTCAATAACGGAGCCCCACTTTCAGGGATCTGTAACGATTTCAAATAATGCTGTATCTGTCTGAATCTAAACATTTCCGACTGCGGCATCTGCAGAGTATATAAACAATAGGGAAGCGATATTGGTTTATGTGATATTATAAAATCAGCGATCCTGTACAAGCCTTTATCCACCCACCATTGAAATGCTTTAGACTGTAGTCCCGGAGGGAAGCAAGCATTGTTAAACAGTGGTGCAAGGGGGGTTTGAGATGAAAGGATCCCCTCTTTAGCCCGAAACCTATCCCATAGGGCCAAAGAATGTAACAAAGTAGGGGGGTTTTAAACATTTTTTATATTACTTTTACATTCATTTTATTTAATATTAATTTTTAAAACAGTTTTTTTTTAAACTTTACTTTACTAAACTTTACTTACAAGCCCCCCATGTGATAGCATATTGGCAGTGACAGGTACTCTTTAAGGTGATACTGAAGTGCAGATCGCACTTCAATAGCTTATAGCTGGGCTTCAGGAGCCCAGCACTGACAGCTATGGGACGGGAAGTGATGTAATCTGCATCACTCCCAGTCCCATAGTACGGGAAGGTGATCGGAGAACGGACGTTCACCAATCTCCTCCCCAGCTTCCCCCCGACACCAGAGAAGCCAGTCCTGGGCACGAAAGAGGGGCAGCAGAGCCCGGGAAACACGGTGGGGGTGTCGGGCAGGGAGGAGGGGGCCTGTTTACCGGCCCATAGAAGTGATCTGGCAGCAGCTTTGCCGCCAGAATCGCTTCTACTGTAAATCCGACAGTTGGCTTTACAAGTTTAAACATAGTCCAGGCGGCAAAAGTCTGTTTAAACGGGCCCGATGCCAGTGACTTACTGTGGACGTCACTGGTCATTAAGAGGTTAAAGCATGCTTGCTATGGGTCTGTGAATCAAAAGTACTTCAAGTATTATTAAACTTTCAAACGTTTTTTCAAAAATTAACCCAGATCAAACATATATACATTGTCCAGCAAAATATTTCTATACATTTTTTTTTACCCAAGCACTTACAGTCATCATATTTTCAAACAGCTCCGACTCGCTCAGCTCAGCTTCCCTGAACTTCCTGTCTAGTACAAGATCACAAGGAACAGCAAGTGTTCATCTACTAGCTGGGAGGAAAGAAAGAGGAAGTAGGAGAGGGGTGCAGGGGGAAGGAAGTGGCTTGACCTCTTGTGCCTGTTTATTTGTGGATATATTCCAGAAGCATGCTGCACTTTTCACCCAGTAGCGCCGCCAATAATGAAACTTGTTACAGATGTCACCAGCACACCATATTGAAGTGAAGAACAAGTTTGTTTATTGATGCATCATGTCAAATTACACAGGGTCCCCTTTATCAGGCTTGAAATTATTTCAGGCCTGATGAAGGGGACCCTGTGTGGCCCCAAAATGTTGTGTATTTGTGGATAAACACACAGCCTGCTTGCACACATAAAGATGTCTCCATAGGACTCTGCAAGAGAAAGGAGCTCCCCTAAAACAGGATATCAGGACCTGTGCTCAGGAGACCAGTCGGTTCTGCCGGAAACTAAAACCTTTCAACATCAAGACTAGGGATGCACCTCATGGCACTTCATGACCCGCCTCCCTGCTTCGTGATTGGCTAAGAGGCCGGCTTCACTTGTTGCTAGCAGCCTGGCTTCCTGACCAATCAGTAAGCCGGGCGGCACATCATGATCTGCCTCTCGGCTTCCTGATTGCCTTGTAAACCAGCTTCACTTGTTGCTAGCAGCCTGGCTTCCTGACCAATCAG